CGCAACAATACATTTAGTTGGAACTACACGATAAACAACACATTCTGTTGGAACTACATGATAAACAACACCTTCTGATATAGTGTTAAATCTTGTTTTTACAAGGTATGTAAACGTCAGTATAAGGTTTGATAAATGTTGTGAAATGTACTGACGTATGTTGAGAATTCTTAGATATATTAATAGTGGTCTCAAATATAACAAATGGCCGACGTTTGAAATATATACAAACGGATAACAATCATGGAAAGTGTAGAACTGTTTTAAGCTGATAAATCCGCCATAATTTAGTTTTGTATATTCCTTCTGGTTATTATAAATCTTAAACTGAAAAGTCCAGGTTTTCCAGTTTCTATTTGATCCAAGAAAGACGCTGAAAACAATCCGTATTTACACGAAAATTGCCTATATTTCATCAACAGAAAAGTACTTTTTAATGGTAATTTATATAGATAAAGCCTGAAACCTTTCTTAATTAATCTGAACTCCATAGACAATGAGTCGCCAGTACAAAGTGTTACTTTTTAGATTCATTGTCACGTTTCCTCGAAACAAAACCAAAAGCTGGACTATTCTTCTATTTTTATAGTGAATTAAAAACGATATTTTTTCTGAGCTCTCATTCTCTCGAGGCAAAACAAAAACTTGAAAAACCCTTACTTTTAAACTATAACTAACTGAAACCAACCAAACCAAACTGTTATCAATAATCCTCTGCATCACTCCATAGTTAAAGTTTACTGTCTGTAATATTGTGATTAGTTTGGATAACCACAAGTCTTCAAAATTATATCACTTTTCAATGATAAATCTCACATGATATGATTAATTAGTGCTAATGAGTAGTGTTTATTAACGTACTTTTGACGTTTATGTTTTAATATTGTTAAAATAAAGTAACAAATATTACAAATGACGAGCTTATCGACCTACAGTCCGGTGAATGCCCAGTGTCGTGGAGTTCAATTCAGTGATTCTAAAACTTTTCAGTATCGCGTGCTCCCCAGTGGCAGAGCGGTATGTCTGCGGACTTGTAACGCTAGAATACGGATTTCGATACCAGTGCTGGGTAGAATACAGATAGCCCATTGTGTAGCTTTGTACTTAATTACAAACAAACAAACAATCAAGCCAGCGTACCACTTTATTTCTTTTAATTACAAACCTAGGCCTAATTCAAAAAGATACAAAAACCTTGTAACAAAAATTAAT